GCGCTGGAGGACTATCACCCCGCGGAGCTGTACCGCGCGCTCGCCGTGTCGGGGGGCACCCTGCCCCGCCGGAAGGTGCGTCCCCGCGCCCCGCGCCCCAAGCTGGCGTCTCTTCCTCGGGACCTGCCCAACTCCACGCCCGCCGCGCGCCCGCGCCCCCGCAACATGCTCCTCGGGCCCCGCCGAGGCGCGTGCATCTGGCCCTGCCCGCTGATCCCCGAGGGCACCTTCCCGACCGCGGAGTCGCCGGGGCCTTTGGGGGGCGCGAGCCGCCCCCGCCGCCCGCTCGCCGAGGCACCCCATTCTGTCCCCGGGCGCCGCCACCCCGTCTCGCTCCTCTCCTCAGCTGCTTCCCAGCACCCCCTTCTCCCCTCACCCCTCCATCTGGCCTTCAGCACCCCGAGCCCCACCTCCCCCTGGCCAGGTGTTGGGAGGCCCCAGGACTCCTTGCCCGCTTCTCGCTTCTCGCGTGGGGGCCGGGAGACCTAAGGCTGATTCTCCACTCGCTTGCTCGCTGGCGCCAAGTTGACCGGCAGAGAGCGGGTGCCGGAGCCGTGACCCCGGCCGGCCGCAGGCTCTCGGGCTGAGGAAGTGCGTGCCGCGCGCCCAGCCACGAGCTCCAGAGAGCTGCCCTTTCCAGGGGACACCGGGACTCCTGGGCTGGGGCCTGCCGCCTGGCCCTGCGCCCGATGCGGGGTGTGAGGTCACTGCTCCCTTGGACTTCAGCCGGACCGATGGGAGGGGTCACAGGGCTCCCGAGAGGCAGGAAGGACAGGCAGCGTCAGCCCTCTCAGTCTCCCTCTCAGCGGGGCTCTTCCTCTGGCCCGAGGTGCACCCGGCCTCCCAGAAGAGGGGGGACAGAAGACTCAGGTTAAGTAGAGGGGGCTGGTGGCCTTTCCCCACTCAGCACCCCCCCATCGGCCCCTGCCCACCCCCCAACAATGAACAGCTTGTTGAGGATTTGCATTTTATGAAAATCGGGTGGAAAGACAAAGGGGTCTCTCTCTGCTGCCCGGTCCGTCCTCCGTGGCCCACTTGGGAGCTGTCCCCACCCCTGAGGACTGTCTTTGGTTCTAGAGAAAGAAGGCCCCCTTCTCTTCCTAGCCTTGGGGCAGCCCGCAGTGGGGGGTTAACAAGGGCACAGGCCAGGAAGGCTCTTTGGGGCACAGGGCTGGGGCACGTCTGGACCTGGGCACGTCTGGACCTGGGTGGGTCTGGACCTGGCTTCTTCCCAGGACCAGTAATTTAGGGAGGAAGCTTTAGTTTTTCAGGCCCTTAAAGAGGCAAAGCTACCACCTCCCTACTCCCTAAAAATTAGCAAAAGCATCCCCAGATTAGTTTCTCCTTAAGTACAATGAGACTTCGGAACAAGTTTGATGTCTAAGATATGCTGTGTCGAACAGCAACAAAGTGTCAGGCACCCTGGCAGGGCTGGGCCAGTGGCTCACTTGTGCCCAGAGCCACTCTTGGCCTCTGAGAGCCTGTGCTGGGAAGAAGGCCGGGGCCCAGCTCCCCTAAGCCACGGCGCCCGAGGAATTGAGAGGAGACACCTGACTGGCAGAGGGCCCTGAAGTATCTTGGTAGGCAAGCTCGGGGGACCCCCAGCTGAGGTGACATCTGGGAAGACCCCTGCTTAGCTTTCTGGGCCTCGGCCTCGGCCGTTGCCCTACAGACATGCTCCCCAAGGGAAGAGGCTGTGTCTGGAGTAGGGACACTCCCCCCCACCCCACCCCACCCCCAGTCAGCGCACAGGGTTCTGATGTTCACCACCTGGAACCCGTGAGGACCCCCGTGTCCCCAGTAGCCCTGGGTTCGGTGATCAAACCCAGGGAGAAAGCTACGGACTCGTCCTGAACACCAGCGCCAAAGCAGGTGTGGAGCACAGCCCACAGGCCACAGAAGTGGGGTGCTGGGTCCAGGGCTGGACCCAGGACAAGGGCCCTCCACCACAGGGCCACTCAAGGACAGCCCCTCTCACCTGCAACTTCCTGACTGGTCTCCCACCCAGGGCTCAGGATTCCGCTGGAAGAGCCTCAGCCAGAGCCCCGAACAGCAGCGGTGAGTACCACCCTGCACCCCCTGCCCTGGCCAGAGACTGAGGTGCTGGGGTGGGGGACAGCACGACACAGCTTCTTAGCGTGCTAAGAGAGGGGCATGTGGGGGTGTTGGCTGTGTGAAGGGGGTGGAAGGGAAAGGAGGTAGGACTTGAGTCATAGGTGCTCCTCAACCCACCCCCAGTCCCTGCCAGTTGCTCCTCCCTGAGGAGGTCTGGATCTGGGGGGGGGGAGAGCAGAAGTCTTTGGGGCTCCCCAAGCCCTCCCAGCCCTGGCAAACCCGTAGCCGAGCCGTGTCCAGCTGCCCCCGCCTCCAGCTCTCAGGCCCGTGCTGGTCTCGGCCCCTGCTGGCCCTCTCGGAAGGCTGGGCAGTATGGGCAGAAGTCGGTGTCCTGTCCGGTCCAGAGTTGGGCCTGACCTCCCAACAGGTCAGCAGGCTGCAGCCTCCTGGCCAGATGAGTCTGTTCGGCACTGGAGCTGAGCCGTTGTTGATATTTCTAACGGGTCAGGAAAATAAAAACAAAGACCAGTATGTGACAGAGGGCAAGTGGGCTCTGCAGGGAAAGCCGGCAATATATACTGTCTGTCCCTTGGCAGAAAAAGTTTATTTACCCTTCCCAAACCAGAGAGGAGTGCAGAAGTGCCCCCAACTTGGGGGCGGGGGGCAGGGGTTGAGGGGGCAGAAGCCAGGGCTCAAAATAGGGGGGAGCTGAGGCTGGGAGTTGCTCCCTGCTTTGGGGGGCTCTCAGGGTGGGAGGGAGCTCCGCCTTGGTCTCCTGGGCCTTTGGAGACTTTGAAACTTTGGAGGCCGCTTTAATTCTGTCTCAGGCTGGGCGGGAAGGAAAGGGGTGGGGGTGGGCAGAGGAAACTCTGGGCTCCCCGGCAGGCCAGGATCTGGAGTGGCTCCAGCCCATTGTGTCCAGTGGGCAGGACTTCAGTGCGGGAAGGGGCGGCCTGAGGCTCCCCTCCCCCAACCCTCACATCTGGTGGCTGGCCCCTCCGCAGCTGGAGGAGCGGCTGTGGCCTGGACCGAGCCTCGTGACTAGCCTCTGGGGGTGGGGCCAGCCCTCTCCCCAAGCCTCTGGAGCAGGACAAGCTCCAGGCTGGGCCGAATTTGGGGCCTCAAGTCAGTAGGTCGTAGTCTAGGGCTCACTGGAAGGCTGGGGTGTGGCCCAAAACCTCAGCCAGTTCATCCCTTGTGGGGACCAGCGGTCCCCTCTTCCTGCCCTCACGGGCTGGTTGGATGGTTGCTGCTGAGTACAGTGGATTTCAGCTGGGGAAGCGCGTGGCCATCCCCACCACCTGTACTGAGTGACTCTGCATTAGGGACAGTGCATTCACTGGACGTTTGCGAGCAGACGTGGGGGCCACCCCAAGACCACCGAGCGCCTTTTAGCCCTGATGGTCTTGATGAGACAGCTTTGTGTCTTCTGCAGGAAAGTGTTGACCTTGGAGAAGGAGGAAAACCAGACGTTTGGCTTTGAGATCCAGGTGGGAGAAGCTGGGTGCCAAGGGGGAGGGCTTGGGGCCCCGAGGGAGCCATGGCCAGCCTGCCCCACGCCCAGGCTCAGGCTCCCCTTTCTGTTACAGACCTACGGTCTCCACCACCGGGAGGAGCAGCGTGTGGAGATGGTGACTTTCGTCTGCCGTGTTCACGAGTCCAGCCCTGCCCAGCTAGCTGGGCTCACACCAGGTGGGGCCCGACCCCAGACACCCCGATTGGGGGAGGGGGTCGTCCCAAGTGGAGAGGATGAGGAATCTCTGAGATCAGTTATCCTTCCCTCCGTTTTTCGGGAGGACCAGAAGGAAGAGTGGGACAATGACATGTCCTGCTCACATCACAGTGTGTTTGGGGGTTCTGGGCACAGAACCAGGGCCTGGCTGATACCAGGTATTGGCCTGCTAGTTGACCCTCTCCTGGCGGTCTGGGCAGGCAGGAGCACAAGCCATCAGATCAGCTTGATTCTGGGGACAGGCCATCCCGCCCCCAACCTGCCTGAAACGTACCTGTGTTCACGCTGCTCCATCAGGAGACCCCTGGGATTGTCCATCTAGAGTCTCCAGGCCCCAGAAGAGAGCAGCCCGAGATTGCATGGACACCGCCCCCCCTTCTACCACCACTTTCTTTCTTAAGCCCTCCCCTCTGTGCCCAGATGGTAGGGCAAAAGCTTTGCAAAGTACTTTGACGTGACTGGCCCCCAAGGTAGCCAGAGCAGGCACCCACATCCCCTTTCTCCACCGGGTCGCTCTGGTGTGGGCAGGAGTCTGCCGTGGCACAGGACAGCAGCAGCCGGGTCTCTCGGGCCTGGGCTCCCTGCTGTTTCCCTGGCCGCTTCCTGGGTTGGCTGGATCTGGGGACAGCGGGCAGGCTGGACAGAAACAACCCCGCCGGGGCAGCCCAAGGCTGCTGAGGGCCTCTGCCACTGGGGACAGAGCTCCTTTAGGACAGAGCCCGGGTGCTGGTGCACGAGGCACCAGGCCCTGGCTGGATGCTGAGCCGGGTCCGGGCGGGAAGCTGGCTGAGCTGGCTGTGGTTTTGTGAGTATGTACTTGGGGGTGGCTCGGAGAAAGCTGTCAGAGGAGGTGTGCCCAGACCGTGCGGAGGGGGGCAGGGGATGTCAGGAGTGTCCTGGCATTGTCAGCCCTGCCCCGGTGGCTGGGGTCTGTAGGGGGCTTCCATCACGCCCTCGGAGCAGGTACCGACCCGCTCTCTGCTGGGCAGGGGACACCATTGCCAGTGTCAACGGCCTGAATGTGGAGGGCATTCGGCACCGGGAGATCGTCGACATCATTAAGGCTTCCGGCAACGTGCTCAGGTACGGGCAGGTATGGGCCGGTGCCGGCCTGAGGATTCCTAAGCTCGGCCCCTTGGGTGTCTCCACGTCCCGGGGCTCCTCAGCCTGGCTCAGCCTTTCTCGCCCAACCCCCACAGACTGGAAACTCTGTATGGGACGTCCATCCGGAAGGCCGAGCTGGAGGCGCGGCTGCAGTACCTGAAGGTAAAGCGGGGTGCCGCCCAGCCTCCCCTCCCGCAGCCCCTGGCCCTCGGCGCACTGCTGCGGAACCCTTCATCTGTCCACACCTCGTTACGGCCACTTAAGTTCTCTTGTCCCTCACTCAGCCTGTGCCCACCTCTGCTGCTTTCCTGCCAGCTCCTGACTGTGTGTGGGGGGGTCTCTTGCAGCAAACCCTGTATGAGAAGTGGGGAGAATATAGGTCCCTAATGGTGCAGGAGCAGCGGCTGGTGCACGGTGAGTATTGGGGTGTGCCCGTGCTGTTACCCCACAGGGGTTTGGGCCATCACACACCTTGGGCTGCGTCTGACCACCACCCGCTGGGGGGTCAGTGTTAGGGTGAGAAGACGGTATCCTCTCCCTTCGAGGGGTGGAAACTCCGAGGTCCCGCAGATGAGCGCGGGGCTAGGGTGGCGACTGGCCCAGGGTCCCCCTCGGGCGGCCCGGAGCCCGACCGCCCTCCCTGTGCCCTGCCCGCAGGCCTCGTGGTGAAGGACCCCAGCATCTACGACACGCTGGAGTCGGTGCGCTCCTCCCTGTACGGGGCGGGCCTGCTCCCCGGCTCGCTGCCCTTCGGGCCCCTTCTCGCCGCGCCCG